TTTTTTTGCAGGCGAATCAAATCTTTTGGCTTCTTCGTCGTTTTATCTTGTATAACCTTTGAATAATTCCTTGAAAGATGTCGCGGAAATAATGCGTATACGAGTAGCTCAAGTTCTAGGCATATTATGGACTGATCAAGAATTTGACGCTAATGTTAAAGAATACTTGGAGGCTTTATCACAACATCCATTGGAACATAAGCATGGTTGGCTTGTACTTCTTAGCCATGCCTTGAGTAAAAAAATTGGGATATCTCATCATACAACGTCAAACAAAGAATTTCGCTGAATGGCAAAATTTTGTAGACGCTGTGAAGGTTATGGGTAAATTTTTGAATACAGTAATTTTTTGTGAAACTCATTATTAGAAAGTATTGCTTCCATTCCAGAATCGGTGGCTTTTAGTCTGACACCAGACCAGCAATCAAAAAGTGGAAAGTATTTGGAATTTTCCGATGGATGGAAAAAGTTCAAGTTATGCGATATGATTTTTCAAGGATATATATATTTTTTTTAATAACTTTAGCCATGCATAGATCACTTATAATAATAAGAAAGAGATAATCTTGGGTGCGGAATTAACACCAAGAAGACATGAAGACTTATAAACGCTAAATGTATATATACATAAACAGCACAACGGCTTACTTGGCAACAAACATTATGGTTATAGAAAAATTAAACGAAACAACTTCTGTCCGTTGGAGCTTCAGTGTACAGCAACCATCGGCACCATAAGTTTCGTATATGAAGTGTTGGATTTTCACACATTTGTTTTGGTTTTCATTTCTGCTGGCAAGTGTTCTTTCAATCCACAACACTCGTTACTTTATCTTGTTACGGAGGCAAAATGTTAACTAAATCTTTATTTAGTTAAACGGATCAAGTCAAGAAATTTATATACTTTAGTTGTTCGTGCGTACCATACGCGGGAGTAAATAGAAGTCTTTCTTAAAGTGAAAAATCTCTTCAAGATAAATTTTTAGCTGCCAATCGAACGGATGATATATACATCAGACAAACAGCCGGAGTTTTAACTTTCCCTGAAGCTTTCCTGAGCTTAACTTCGGGAAAGCATTTAATCTATCTGATATAAGGCATACAATTGATACGATACGCTTAATGCTTAGTCCATTAACGCCCACTTTTTGATTGAAATTGGTTAAAAATATTGTTTTTCTACTCGTTAATACAACGACAAAAACTTTCATACTTCATAACTGATCCTGCAACACTTGCACACAAATTGAAAGTAGTGATCAGGAGTAAATGCTGTACAGCACCGAAATTTGGTTCTTTTACCTAAATACTTGCAATATGCTGAAAGAAACTTCGGAGAACCTATAAAATGTGCACGTATTATTGATTAGCACCAGATTTCGAATCCATCTTGCCATGTTTATCTGTCCTACACTGCTTCAAATTTGGCAGAAACACTGAAAACTGCTACCTGCAGTTTGGTGCTGAAAATGGGCCAAATCGGTCAAAGGCCATGGCCACCAGACAAAGAGTAGACCAGAGTGTGAATATCTCTGTTTAAATCCCATATAAGCTGCAATAGATATTCGCACGTTCTATTTTAAAATATAGATGACGGATATTAAGATTTCGGGTAAACCTCAATATAATTTTGTAATCTGCCGTTATTATAAAAGAAATTTAGAATGAAATTAATTTATTTAATGCAAACGAATTTGGAAATGCGTTTAGCGTTAAAGAAGATATATAGCTGCGTAGATTAAAGTTGCTTACTAATGCAACTGACCTCTATAACCACTTTATAAAATTTATGTAAACCCGTATTTCAAAAGATTTCCGCAACTTTTTTTTAACAAAGAGTATGGAAAAATTTTTCAATACAAACTTTTATAGAGAAAGCTAAGAACAGCAAGCTATTTGCACTTATTTCTGTAGTTTCGTTGTGTTCGTTTCTATTTAAATTTTCCATTTTACTTCTTTTTATTTCATTTTTATTTATTTTCCAAATGTCCTTATTAGCACCACTGTCTCTTTTAGCAACCTTCGCCCGGTTTATATATAGCCACTCGCCACAATCAAAATTATACGATACCGGCCATGTCAATTGGGAAACTATCGTTGATAAAGGCATTAACGTTTGCTGCCAATTCATGCCTTCTCCGATTTCAACATTGTCAGCAAATAAAGTTAAAGCGGTAAGCAAGCTTTTGGCATTTAAAAATACTTGCAACAAAGTGGCAGTGTCACGTTTACCACCATTGCCATATATACGACCCGAACCAGTGGTTAGTTGTAAAAGATTTAACCTTTGCATAGCATCGTCTACAGACGTAGCCAAGACGTAGTAGGAGTGCAGGAATGTTATTATGTCCGGCATAAATTGTGTTGTCAAAGTTTTCAATACCTCCAGAGGTGCGTACTGATAAGAATTTGTTGTAGTAGAAGCCAATTTCGACATAACGCAAAGCGAATTAAAGCATTTTGTCGAACTGTTTCCGATAGAACAGATAATCCAATTTTCATGTTCCTGAAACGAAGGACTTCTAAATGAACGTTCTCCTTCAATGGTCAGAGCAAAATGTACCCTTACTGCTGCTAGTTCACAGAAATAATTTCCACATAAATTTAGCATACGAATAAATTTCATACTCTGAAGTTTTTAAGTGGAACAGATTTGCTCAATGCGATTATCATTTAAGAAGACATATTGCAATTTACTCATTTACATTTATATATGACGTTCATCATTTCGCTTCTGCAACAATATCAATATGTGCCGACAAAATATTAAATTAATAGTTTTCAGCATCATTTGTCGTTTATTCGGATCTACTGCAGAACGCTCGCTAGCAAAACAAATTTTCGCAGAGTAACAAGAAGAAGACCTGTACATACAAACTTAATCGTTGTTCGTTTGAATCCATATTTAAAAAATATATTAACTTTCATGAGAAAATGGAAAAATAGTCTTATTTTTATTTATGAATTATTGTTGTTAATTAAAAAATGAAAAATGGATATTAAGGCCAAAAGTAATTTAATTATCTTGAGTATTAACTGTTCCTTCGGCTAGTGTTGGTGGGTCAGACAACGTTGCCGGCAAATGACCGAGGTAGGCATCATTATCGATGCCGTAATTTATGATCATGCGCCAATGAGGATCCAAAAAGAGTATGTCGGGGTTGCCGTATATCATAAGCAAACAACGAGGCCGAGAAATTGCGAGTTTGGTTGATCTTTCATTTCGTATGAATCCTAATCCATGATGCATATCGTCACATATATGCTCCTTGCTTGATCTCACTCCTGAGATTAATATTATTTCGCGTTCCTAAAAACAACCAAGCGAAATCAACATTAGTATTAATTCAAACTGTAATTTTACGAAGGTTATACCTGTCCTTGGAACTCCTCCACAATACCAATTTTAGGCATCGCTACGTCGGCATCATCAAAAAGATTTCGCAAATGTTTAGCTTGTTTTATGAACGGTGTTATAATGCCAATCGATTCAGCTTTAATGTTATTACGATACAATTTGGCCGTCATTAGAAAGACCTTGAAAAATGAAATACATTTTTTAAAATACTAGATAGAAGGGATTGTACTTTTAAACTAAAGAGAACTTACTTCCTTCGCTTCGTAATGATTATACCACGATGGCGAGTCCTTTTTCTGCAGATTTGTAGAACGTATTCCGCGGAAGAAGATGCCATGTGTTTTGGGTCGATTTGGGGATTGCGGCAGTAAATCGTCAAGTTGCTACAGCATTGCAGCTTCCCAAGAATTTTCTTCTCTTATCATTGGTTTTGCATTTTAGAACAGTCCATTATAAACATTCACTATAGAGGGCAACGGTAATTGTAGAGTAAATTTGTACCCAGGCGAGGGTCAAAACCACATATAAGGGGAAAACTATCAACGTCTCGTAAGTATGCAGCACGCGAAAGAATTCTCTCCAAAAATGATGTGGATAAACCGCGTCCACGAGCATATTTGTTTATAACGA